CAGTAATTCCTGCTGGTTCTCAGTGTGTTTGGATTACAGTTGAAATTTAACAAACGTACGTTCAATTTAAAGTAACTCCCCCTTTACTTCTACGTTTTTGGCTTTGGAAAGTGTGAAATGTCGTTTACGCTGTGTAAAACGTATTCCCAAACATACACTCTATCATCACTGCCAAAGCATTTTCATTTTCTATGGGTCATTGATTCTTCCATTTTCCTAATCAAGCAGCACCATCACATAGGATATTAGTTGTTTTTTTGGGAAGAACAGCATGGATTGTTACTAATCAGGTATTGCCCCAAAAGTTCAAAACAGCAACAGAAGTAGATATTGCGATTTTTGGTGAACAGAAAATAAGAACTCTGATCCTCATCCACTCAATTTTAGTGAATAATAAACAGTTGCTCTATTATCCATGGACAATCATTTCCCTTCTTTCCAATTTATTTATGATATAAAAGCCTGTCAGTCATAATTGTTACAGATCATGACCTATTCTTTTTCTTTAAGGCAATTTTTTCTTTACTTGGTTTGAAAACTTTAAACCTATGCTTCTTGCATTTAAGGTCATAGTTTCATTTTATCCCAATAAAAAAAAAACAAAACAGAAGCTACAGAAAAGCATTGGTTCTTTGACTTCTACAAATAAATGGTTATATAAAGACAATAAGCCATGTAAATGGTATAAGAGAAAGCTTTTAGTACATGATTAGGCTAGTCACCGGTGTTGATCAAGGAAAACAGTAAACCTTGTTAAGTCCATTGTTATTCTGCATCTGCCTTGACAGGGAAACTACATCGTTTGTTTGAGGCGTGGCACCTTCAGATTTTAATTTCATGTGTATAATATTAATAAAATATATTTAGACTATTTATTAAATAAATTTATCTTTTTCTTAGTAGAGGAAAAATACTTTTTTTCTACCCATGCTAGGAATCATGTATCTATTCATGCTGTGAAATTTATCAGAACAATGTCTTTTTCTTTTCTTTTCTTTTTTGACAGAAATTTACCTTGCTTATACTGTGAGAAGCGAACATTGTATCAAATAACAAAAAAACACAGAGGAGCTGCATGAGTAGTTAAATTCATTGTCATTACACAAAAAAATGTAATACTGTGATTTTGTCATTCAATGTTCTTTCTTTTCCCTCTTTCTCAAGAAAGGGAGATCTTTACAAGTTGAGAAGACGCCTATTGTATATAAAATGTCTTCACTAATCTATGTCAGTCTCCTAAAGTGTGAGATTTATTGTCGATTCAAGCCAGAAGTTATACTGTTGAAGACATCTTCACTGCAAGGAATTGTGAGGCCACCCATGGGATGGTCATATCCAAATTCTTCCTCAGCTTGACTCAACAAGTTCTTGAATGAAGGTTGGTTCAAGTATGATACAGGGATCACAAACCGCTTCATTTTCTCTCCAACATAGACTGCAAGGTAACCCTTTGGCACATCCACCGATTTTGAAGATACTTGGTTTGCCGCAAATGATGCGGTTTTGATACCAGGCAAACGAAAACCCATAGTTGTATTGTATGTGTGAGACTTTGAAAAAATACTCGTAAGTAAGATACAACTTTTTGAACTTCAAAAGCTTTAGGATGTGAATGGTTTTTGTTGCTGTTGTTGTAAATCCTTGCTGGGATGAATATATATAGATGAAAGAGTTTGTAAGAAATTGTTTGCTACATGAATGGTTTGACGGGGGAGGGCTACAAGATAAGAGTCATGGGGCCAACAGGGAGACAGGAGCATATGGTTTTGCCTTGTAGGACATTCCCATGAACCAACGTAACATGTTATAGTAGTTAAGATAATACTATCTTATCTTTTATAGTGAATCCACTTGAAATGAATTGGATATGTATAATCTCAAACCTCAGAAATATAATTGTCGATGGTCTTTCGCTATCCATTGCCTTATGATTCATCAGCCAGAAAATACCTTCCAGCTGTACTTCAACATAATGTGAAGAAAACATGTCCAAAGCATGTCTCCAAAATTAAGGAATACCAAGTAATGTATGAACACGTTAAGTTTCAGTTAGGCACGTCTCATTTGGTTACAAGTGGAGGCTTTATGATGGCCATTGTTTGATAAGGTGGTGTTACACAAGTCTACACAACTTTATCCTTGATAGAAGCACTGAGAAGACAACACAATGTGATATCTCATGTGTTTGCCTTCCATCCTTTAACATTCATTTTCTCTGGGAATTGGGTTTATACAAAATCTTAAAATCTATATAAACATCATCCTTTGTCTTCAAAAACAACACAATTCATCAACATTTTGATTAATTGTTTGAAAATTTGTGATTTTCTTTCTTCAAACAAGCACAAAAAATGGGGTTCCGTTTAGCTGCTATTCAATGGGCATCATTCACCGCTAGCCAAGCAGCTTCAAAATCTTTACAAGTTTCAAAGGACTATCTTGCAGTGTATGTTGGAGAGAAACAGAAGCGGTTCGTGATTCCCATGTCCTACTTGCACCATCCTTCATTCCAAGACTTTGAATCAAGCTGAGGAAGAGTTTGGATATGATCATCCCATGGGAAGCCTCACAATTCCTTGTTGTGAAGATGTTTCCCAACATATAACTTCTCCTTTGGAAGGACTATAAATGTTGCAAAGTGGAAGATTGACATAGATTAGTAATTTAGTACATAGTAGAGAAATTTTACACTAGGTCTCTTATCAACATGTAACGATTTACCAATTTTTGAGTAAATGACAACAAATTCAATTGCTTTAACTTGTCCTTATATAGTTTAAGTCACTTGTTGCTATAATTTTCTGTAATTTGTGGCTCGTTCAGTTTCTTTAACAGTAATTATATATCCTTAGGTAATTTAGTACTCCCTCGGGTTGTATCTTTGCTGCAAAATCATTCTAACTTTCAAAGGCTCATTGATTCCTTCATTTTCCAGAACAAGTAGCACCATCACATGGATTATTAGTTATGGGCAGAATGGCATGGTTTTTACTGATATGGTATTACCCCCAAAATTCACAACATCAATAGAAGAAGATATTGCAAATTTTGGTGGACAAAATTTGGATACCTGACTTTCAAGTCCAGCTGTATAAATATGTTTTTGGTGATAATTTATGATATACATATTAGTCAATCATAATTGTTATACAGCTAGACCTATGCTTTAAGGACACTTTTTCTTTATTTGATTTGAAAGAATTAAAACTAAGCTTCTTGCAATGTAAGGTCATAGTTTCATTTTATTTAAAAGATAGAAGTTATAGAAAAGGATTGGTTCTTTGACAGCAGCAGATATATGGTTATCCATAAGAGAAAGCTTTTGTTACAGAAGTAGCACCTAACTTCAGTTGTTCAGAGCCTTGATGCTTGGTTTGCTATAAACCTCGATGTTTAGTTCGATTTATTTTGAACCTGCGTCTGTTTGTCAGTGCCTTGGCACCTAAAATTTTTATTTTGATATATATTTATTAATAAAATATTTTGTTTGTCCCAAATAAATTTATCTTTCTCTTTGGTCCTAGGGAAAATACTTCTGCTCTACCCTTTATCACATGTTCTCTCCCTTCTTCAAATGTTGGGATACAAACAAGTCCCACATCGATAAAATAAGACAACAAATAACAACTTATATAGCATAAACATACTTCAATGATTGAGAGACTTTTTGGGTGATAATATCTCATCATTGTGGAGTACGCTTGTGTAATAACCTTATAAAAATAACCCTCTCAGACAAATACCATAAAATAATCCCATCATCAAATTTATCAGAACAAAGTCATTTTTTTAACAGGATTCAACCTTTCTCATACATAGAGAAGTGAACGTTGAAACTAATAAACAGAAAATACAGCGGAGCTGCGTGCGTAGTTGAATTCATTGTAATAACTGATTACACAAAAGAATGTGGAACACTATGATTATGTCATTCTGTTTCTTTTCCTTTGTTCTCCAAAAAGGGAGATTTATACAAGTTTAGAAGAAGCCTAAAGCAAAAAATATTTCCACTAATCTATGTTAGTCTCCTAAAGTGTGAGATTTATTGTCAATTCAAGCATGAAGTTATATGTTGGAAGACATCTTCACTGCAAGGAATTGTGAGGCCACCCATGGGATGATCATATCCAAACTCTTCCTCAGCTTGACTCAATAAGTCCTGAAATGAAGGTTGGTTCAAGTATGATACAGGAATCACAAACCGCTTCATTTTATCCCCGACATAAACTGCAAGATAGCCCTTTGGCGCATCCACTGCTTTTGAAGATGCTGGATTTGCTGCAAATAAAGACTTTCTGATACCAGGTAAACGAAAACCCATTGTTGTATGTGTTGAGACTCGGGAAAACAATGTAAAAAAAGATCAACTTGTAAATAAGATGCAAGTTTTTGAACTTCTAATGCTTTAGAATATGATTTTTTTTTTATGTCCTCAATGCTTGCAGCCTTGAATATTTATAGATGAATGTATTTGAAAGAAATTATTGACTAGATGAGTGATTAAAGTGGAAGGGCTATGAGACAAGAGTCATGGGACCAACAGGGAGACAAAGGCATATAGTGTTGCCTTGGAGGACTTTCTCGAGTGAATCCTCTTGAAATAAAATAGGTGTGTAATCTTAAAAATCAGAAATATAATGATCAATGATCTTTCACTATCCGTTGCCGCATAATTCATCTGCTAGAAGATACCTTCCAGCTGTACTTCAACATAACGTGATAAAACATGTCCAAACCATGTATACAAAATTATGGAATACCAATTAGTGCATGAAGAAAACTTAGGTTTCACTTAGGCACGTCTCATTTGTTTATAAGTGGAGGCTTTTTTTTGACCATTGTTTGATAAGGTGGGGTTACACACGTCTGTACAACTTTATCCTTAACAAAGGTACAATAGACAACACCATGTGATATCTCATGTGTATGCCCTCAATCCTTTAACTGTCCTTTTCTCGGGAAGTTGAGTTTATACAGAATCTTAGAAACTATATATACACTATCCTTTGTCTTCATAAACAACACAAGCAATCCTCAAACAAAAACACTTAGATTCATTTTTTCAAAATTTGATATTGTTTTTTTTCCTTCAATCATACACAAAAAAATGGGTTTTCGTTTACATACTATTCGACGTGCATCCTTCACAGCTAGCCAAACAGCTTCAAAATCTGCAGATGTCCCCAAGGGCTATCTTGCAGTGTATGTTGGAGAGAAACAGAAGCGGTTTTTGTTTTCCATATCATACTTGAACCAACCTTCATTCCAAGACTTGTTGAGTCAAGCTGAGGAAGAGTTTGGATATGATCATCCCATGGGTGGACTCACAATTCCTTGTAGTTAAGATGTTTTCGAACATATAACTTCTCTCGCTTGATTGGATAATAGATCTCACACTATGGGGGACTTACATAGACTTGTAGATACATTTTATACAATAGGCATCTTCTCTATTTGAAAATATTATATATCAATTTTGAGTAACGACAATGAATTCGATTGCTAATTATTTCTTTTATCATTTATACAATGTTCAATACTCTCTACAATTAGAGCCGTAGTGAGTAGTGTCCATTAGGAGGTTGGTTGCTGAAAAAAAAAAAAAAGACTTGATTGTTAACTAGAATTCAAAAGAAATAGTTGAATAGATCGAGAATAATCAATTATAATCGATAACTAGATTATTTCAATAATCAATTATGTACATAATATTTTATTTCTGTTTATTCAATCTAAATAAATGATATGAATATCTGACTTCGAAGTTCATCTGTATGAATATCTTTTGGTCAAAATTTATGATATATCTATTAGTCAGTCATAAATGTTAAAAAGCTTGACCTATTTCTTTGCTTTAACGACACTTTCTTTATTTGATTTGAAAACTTTAAATCTCTGCTTCTTGCATTATAAGGTCATAGTTTCGATTTATTTAAAAGACAGCAGTTAAGGAAAAAGATGGGTTCTTTGACTTCAGCCAATATAGGATATACATAAGTGGAAGCTTTTGTTACAGAAGTTATCAAAATTTATTCAAGGAAAAAAAAATCTTGATGTTAAGTTCAATATTATTTTGCACCTGCTTTGGCAGGGTAGGTAACTTGTGAGTTGTTTCCAACTTTGGCTCATCAAAAATTTAATTTTATTTGTATATTTATTAATAAAATACATTTGTTTGTCCAAAATAGATTTATCTTTCTCTTTGATTCCAGGGTAAATACTTTTTCTACACATTTGTTTGGAATCATGTGTTCTATTTGTGCTTTGAAATTTATCAGAACAAAGTTTGTTTTTTTAACAGAGTTCAACCTTGTTCATACATAGTGAAGTAAGCATTGAAAATAAAAAACAGAAAATATAGAAGAGCTGCTTGAGTAGTTGAATTCATTGTAATTACACAAAAAATATGACATAGTCATTATGTCATTCTCTTTCTATCCCTTTGTTATTAAGGAAAGGAGATTTATACAAGTTGAGAAGACGCCTATTGTGAAAATGTCTTCACTAATCTGTTAGTCTTCTAAAGTGTTATATTTATTGTCATTTCAAGCTTGAAGTTATACGTTGGAAGACATCTTCACTGCAAGGAATTGTGAGGCCTCCCATGGGATGATCATATCCAAACTCTTCCTCAACTTGACTCAACAAGTCCTGGATCGAAGATTGATTCAAATATGATATAGGGATCACAAACCGCTTCATTTTCTCTCCAACATAAACTGCAAGATAGCCCTTTGGCGCATCCACTGCTTTTGAAGATGCTGGATTTGCTGAAAATAATGCCTTTCTGATACCAGGTAAACGAAAACCCATTGTTGTATTGATTTGAGAAAATAATGGTTTAAGAAAAGTATTGAGAATAAGGTTTAGAGATTTGAATGCTTTAGGATGTGAATGATTTGTGTTGGTCCTAAATGCTAGAAGCAATGAATATATATAGATAAAAGGATATGTGATAAACCATTATTTGCGTGATTCAATTATTGGTACAGGAGGGATATCTGATAGGAGTCATGGGACCAAATGAGAGACAAGGCATGTGGTGTTGTCTTAGAGGACTTTCTTAAGAATCAACTTAATGTGTTATAGTAGATAAAAGTCTAATTGGATCTTGTTGACACTTGCTCAGAGTGGTGGGGTTCGGAAACATCATTTATGCAAATTTCATGCTGTGTTGGTTAGCATTTGACGTACATGAAAACGTGGTTCATAATGCCACATGAAACATGATATGAACAAGCATTCAATGTTGGTTCTCTTCTTATCTCCACTGTTTCAGAACAGGGCTACATGGGCCTGTCTCCCAGTTGCTCCCATGACTCCTCCCGTAGTCCTGAACCAATTGTTCAAGTAGCCAAACAGTTTCTTATATATCCCTTTATTTATATGTTCAGGGATGCCAGCACTTGGGACCAACATAAATCGTGAACATCCTGAAGCATTCAAAGTTGAAAAAACTTGCATGGTATTTACATGTCCTTTTTAAAACGAACATTCTATTCTCTACTCTCAACTCATAAAACAAAAAATGCATCATCTGTAGCAAACTGAGCATCTTTAAATGCAGTGGAAGTGCCATAGGACTACTTTGCTGTCTATGTTGGAGCGAAAACGAAGTAGTTTGTCGTCCCCTGATCATACTTTGAGCAAACTTCATTCCCCGACTTACTAAGCCAAGTTGAGGAAGAATTTGGGTATAAACTTGCAATAGGTGGTCATACAATTTCTTGACTAGGCTCTAACACTGCTAAAATAATACTGATGTAGATACATATTACTTGATTATTCATTTTCTTGCCTTGAAAATACTCTCTTTTTCTGTTGTCGTTCGTACCCAGGCAAGTGTAGAAATGTGTTGGGAATATGCCTAAATATCTTTAGAAGATTAAGTTAGTTTTTTATAAGAATATTTTATTTATATTTCAAATATTTAAATTTAATCTGTTCTGATTATTTTAAGATTTATTTCCTTATTTTAGAATAGAATAATATCAATATTTGATTTTGTATAACAAATTTTCTCTATAAATAGAGACTCATGAATAAAATTATATTATGCTCCTCTGATAAAAAAAAATAAGTCTTATAAAATATCCTCTCAAACAAATATCATAAAATAACCCCATCATTGGTATCTAGAGCTAAGGTTACGATCTTGGAGATGGAAGCAGAAACAAACTTTTCACAAATTTCCCCACCTATTTTTGATGGAGAAAGTTACGATCTTTGGGCGGTGAGAATGGAGGCATACCTAGAAGGTTTAGATCTCTGGGAAGCCGTAGAAGAAGATTATGATGTTTCCGCGTTGCCAGACAATCCTACCGTAGCCCAAATGAAAATTCACAAGGAAAAGAAAATCAAGAAGGCAAAGGCAAAAAGTTGTCTCTTTGCCTGTGTTTCACAAAATGTTTTCACAAGGATCATGACTCTCAAATCGGCAAAAGCAATTTGGGATTATCTAAAGGAAGAATATGCTGGAGATGAAAGGATTCGAAGCATGCAAGTATTAAATTTAATGAGAGAATTTGAAATACAAAGAATGAAGGAGATAGAGACAATCAAACAATATTCTGACAAACTGCTTGGCATTGCTAATAAGGTACGATTACTAGGAACGCAATTTCTTGATTCTAGAATTGTTGAAAAAATTCTAGTAACTATACCTGAAAGATATGAAGCTTCAATAGCAGCCTTGGAGAACACAAAGGATCTGAGTAAGATCACTTTGGCAGAGGTGTTACATGCATTACAAGCATTAGAACAAATGAGGCTTATGAGAGAAGAAGGATTCGTGGAGGGTGTATATTTAGCCAAATGGAAGAACACAGTGGCAAAAACAAGAAGAAGGAATTGTTTCAAGAGAATAGTCAACATAATAACACTCAAATTTTTTCACCATGTCCTTATTGCAAAAAGACTAATCATCCACAACAAAGATGTTGGTGGAGACCTGATGTAAAATGTGACAATTGTGGAAAATTAGGACACCTAAAACATGTATGCAAATCTCATGAGCAACAAGAAGAAGCCAACATTGTTGAAGATCAACAAGAAGAGGGAGAAGAAGAACTACTTTCAATGTCATGCTTTATGACCAAAAAACCCTCAAAAGCTTGGATTATTGATAGTGGTTGTACAAATCATATGACCTATGATCGAGAACTCTTCAAAGAACTCAACAAAACTAACATCTCTAAAGTTCAAATGGGGAATGGAGCACACCTTGCAGTAAAAGGCAAAGGAACACTTGCTATTAAGAGTCATTCAGGTTTTAAATTAATATCTGATGTTTTATACGTTCCTGATATTAACCAAAATTTGTTGAGTGTTTCTCAATTATTAGGAAAAGGCTATAAAGTGTTATTTGAAGATAAAAATTGTGTGATTAAAGATATACACAACAAAGAAGTGTTCAATGTTCATATGAAAGGCAAAAGTTTTGCTTTAAATTTGGAGAAGGAGGAGCCAATTATAAATGAAGATACAAGTGAAGAGCACAAAGATGCATGTCTTCAAAAGAAGTTTGATGATCAAGAGGAGAATGAAGATGATGAAAAATCACCTTCAAAAGAGAAGTTCGAGACAAATGTTAAAGTGGTCCCACTC